GGAGAGAGGGGGGAGAGAATTAAAGCAACCATCATTTGTCAGAGGAAATCAAGCTTAGACATTTATATCCCTCAGGATCTAGGCCTCCTCCCTTGCCTGATGTCAGATCTCGCCCGTTTCTGGATATACCAGGGAAATTTAGAAATGACCGTTAATATTGCGCAAATTTAGTCACGTGGGTATCCCGTGTGGTTTCTCGTGGTTTTCCAACAAAGGATTCAAACAAAAGGCAAAGAAAATTACACGTGTTGGAAAATCAGATATCTTAAGCAGGCTCTTTTAAACGAAGCTTAGCCAAAGTTTCGAAAAACCAAGTTCGAAGCAATTTTTTAATTCGATCTTTTAGACAACCGTTTTAACTGAGAGGTCTATTTGCTTGTAAATAGTGACAATAAGGCTTATACATAACACTGAGAAAAACTTTTCCTCAACCAAAACCACTTGGGGATAAATTTGGAGGTGCATTGACTTTAAACGACGCGTGCGTCTAAAGGAACCTGTCCCTGTGGTCCTAGAGTATATTTCTCTCTCGGACTCTGAAACTAAAGACTTTTCATCCAATCAATTCACAGGGTGTCGACTTACCTAGTTCACAGTTCCACAAGTGCCACGGACGAGCTGTTCAATTGTCTGGTGCGCCTTTGCAAGTACCTCATCAAATGAAGTCAAAAGGATTACGTTCTTTTCCGCAATGTAAGCGAGCTCACGAGAATCTACCTCGCTACCGACACCAATTGCTATTATATGAACTCCTAAGGCCTGCAGACAGAGAACATTAACGAGAAATTGATAAATTTGCTTAGAAGGAGTCACACACTTGTAGCTTGGACAGACTCGTATACACACAAGTGCTACAGTGCTCTACGAAAGTCCACCTTCGCAGTTGGCCTTGAAAATGTGGTGAACGAAACCCTCTATCAATCAGGTTCGTGACTTGCAAGCCTAGAATGATGCTGCGTAAATAAAGAAGGGAAGTAGAACTAGGTGTATGGCATGAAAAAAAGACCTGAAATAGCATGAATTAACGTGCTTGACAGAATTAGAACTTGGATTTTGTTATAAGCGCAACATCTCATATTTAAAATCTCAGTGAAAAAGGAATTTAATGACTACAAAGAGTAATGCTTAAAAAAAAAAAAGTGGGAAAAATAGCGTGAAATAGCGATGAATGTCGTGACAACATAAAGAGCAACTCGCATTGTTGATAAACCTACCCTCAAATATGCAGAGGGTTGTTTCACTGTTAGGCTTCCTCCGTGCGTGATTCCATCAGTCATAAGGATACATGTCCTAGGCACACCATATCTGGGAGCCCCCTTAAATATCTTATCTTTCACTTCCTGCAAAGCGAGATGTGTGAGCGTAGAACCTCCAGTGTACAGCATCTCGCCGACTTTATTTTTGAGTCCGTGCAAGGTGTACAGAACTGAGTCTTCTAAAGTTAGGTCGATGCACACATGATGATCGTACCTCAAAAGGGCGAATCTTCAACAAATGTAGACAACTAGTGTAAATAACGTGTGAGAAGAGTGTGTGTGTGTGTGAGACGCAATAGCCTGGTGTTTGATGCCCTAAAAAAAGTCTAGAAAGACTTTTGAATTTAAACTTTAGACTTTATATTTGAAACTTTTAGACTTTAGAGTTTAGACTTTAGACCCTGACCGGGTCATTGTGTTGAGCTCTTCGGTAAGACACTGTACTCTCACACTGCCTTTCACCTCCCAAGGGTATAAGCGGGTATCGTCGAACTGTCAGAGATGCTTGAAGAAGTGCTTTGAGTTGTGAGGGGGGGGGGTGGGTTGTTACATATCTTGGTCCTGTATACTATCAAGAGAGAGTAACAAACCGCACGAGTTATTTCCTATAGCTTAAACAGGAGTAAATTTCACTGTGATGTGTGATGGCCGACCTCTCGGCTCAGGTGCACAAACCTCATTTTGCTAAAAAAGAAACAGGTCACGGTTGGTGCACAAATCAAACCTCGCATCTCGTTAGCCATTTTAAATAATCTTCTTTACCATGAACGTTATGGTTTACACCTGTCTATTCGGCATTTGTTTACGCAGGGAAAACTGTTATTCAGTCCAGATTAGGTATCCTTAAAAAGCATAATTTAAAAGAATGACTCAGGCCTTTTCCAAAAACATTTGGTTCAAAGGCTTTCACAGAATATTAAGCTTACCTCCAAGAGAAGAGTTCACCCCAAACGATCTTATTTATATAATGACATACAACTGATCTCACTGACCTAGTGCCGCTGTCCGGAAAGTCAAAGCGATCCACGAACAGCTTGAGGAACTGTATAATCCTATTGAAATTGGCCTGTGTTACACTCCCTGATGTATCAATCACAAAGGCAACATCTACAGCTCTCTGACAGCCTGGAACAAGAAATTAGGAATAGTCTAGGTGATCAGTGTTTATCTGGCAAAAATTTTTAAGTAACCTACAATGATAATAGAAGCCAATTTTAATTTGCGCCCAGCGACGTAGTAAACGACTTCATCCTCAAGGTTTGAAAGCTAACTCTCTTAACCGATATCTGTATATTTCTTTGTTGACGATTGGTGAGAATTAGCAGTTCTGTGAATATATCTCTAGTATGATGATTTTCTTAGTTTTCTTCGTCTATTTTCTTGCTAGTGTATCATCGTTGTGAGGGGAATGTCTCTAATGATTATACCAGGGGGTGACAGGGTTACACCTAAAGACACTCAGTCAGTGACCTTTTCTCTTCGTCATGATTTGGAAAACACAGCGTCCCTTGGGCCCATATTATAAGGGGATAAATACCGTATCCTCCTCCACTGGCTACTCCCTGGTGTGATACTTGCTCCCCAGGCTGTTTTTTGAACTCATAGAAGTAAGCTCTGAACGCACGTCCAACGCACATTGACTTAGCATCCTCGTCTTTGCAAGGCTTGAAAGACTCACCAACGCATCTTTCCTCCGAATCTATGGGGTATCTATATGCAAAACAGAAACCAAAACAGGGGCCAGGCAGGTTTATTTGATTCAATCAATGAAAACTCCATATCTTTCTTTTGAAAAATGTTTTGCCTAACTCAGTATCATCTTTTGTGCTCTTCGTGATTGAATTTTCTTCTATCGCGTTTATCACTCAGTCCTCCGAAACATTGACGAAACACAGTGCTGCTGTTTTGCATGTAAGCGCCCCTGCTATAATCACCTCGCACGAGGTAATTATAGCGAGATATGACGCAATACTCGATCAATCAGTGTGAGCGCATCACCTGGGCAATTATACTAATTCTGGTTGACATTACTTGACCCCAAGAACAAAGATGGCATTATACTTAACTTACTGACTTGGTTATCATAAATCGTACACCCTTTTGTTTATTCATTACACAGTTAAGTATGTATGATGCACGATCCTCGCAGTAGATAGCACTATTTAAGCAATAGCGAAAATCAGGCCTGAAAAAAAATCAGGCCTGTACGGGATTCGAACCACTGACCTCTGCGATACTAGTGCAGCGCTCTACCAATTGAGCTAACAAGCCAACTGGGAGCAGGCCGTTAAGTTGATTCGTAATAAACCCGTATGTATTAGATACGTATGATGCACGATCCTCGCAGTAGATAGCGCTATTTAAGCAATAGCGAAAATCAGACCTGAAAAAAATCAGGCCTGTACGGGATTCGAACCACTGACCTCTGCGATACTAGTGCAGCGCTCTACCAATTGAGCTAACAAGCCAACTGGGAGCAGGCCGTTAAGTTGATTCGTAATAAACCCGTGAAAGTGATAAATCAGATACAATGAAATATATGAAGTTCATATATTTTGAACTGCGGTATTAGATACGTATGATGCACGATCCTCGCAGTAGATAGCGCTATTTAAGCAATAGCGAAAATCAGACCTGAAAAAAATCAGGCCTGTACGGGATTCGAACCACTGACCTCTACGATACTAGTGCAGCGCTCTACCAATTGAGCTAACAAGCCAACTGGGAGCAAGCCGTTAAGTTGATTCGTAATAAACCCGCAGTTCAAAATATATGAACTTCATATATTTCATTGTATCTGATTTATCACTTTCACGGGTTTATTACGAATCAACTTAACGGCCTGCTCCCAGTTGGCTTGTTAGCTCAATTCGTAGAGCGTTGCATTAGTATCGCAGAGGTCAGTGGTTCGAATCCCGTACAGGCCTGATTTTTTTCAGGCCTGATTTTCGCTATTGCAAAAATAGCGCTATCTACTGCGAGGATCGTGCATCATACGTGTCTAATACCGCAGTTCAAAATATATGAACTTCATATATTTCATTGTATCTGACAGTTAAGTATACTGTGGTCAAAAATGCCGACTTTCCGACGTATCACGAAAGCTCGGTAACTCCTCTGAAAAAAAAAAAAAGCGATAACGAACCTTGGAAAGAGTTCTTGTAAAGGCTCGCTGCTTCCCCAACACTCTCCATAATACTGTAAAGCAAACCAATGAAGCTTTTGACGCTTGGCTTCAGTTGCGCAGCGACAAGCCAGACTAAAATACAATATTGAGAAAAGAAATTCAATGTTTTAAAAGTGCAAGAAATCGTACCAAGGCCTTCACAGCAGGTTAATGTAAAAGAGTTGCGGTAAAAAAATCAGGGTATATATTGTTATCCCTTCTCCCTCAGCAGTGCTGGCCCTGAACAGAGGAGAGCTCCTCGTTAAGTAGAAGCAGCCAAGAATGACTACATAGAGACTAGTGTTTCGACATTCTTTCACCGTTAGGGATTCCCTGTTTATGTTATCACTGCATTTTATTTCAATTCATCCTTGACTGTCTCCCTCATGTAAAATCAGGGGCCCGTTTCTCGAAATTCCAGGTGGTTAAAAGTCCCGCAAAGCTCCGTTTTTGTGCCGCATCTCTATTCAAGATCGAGATATCAGTGGGTATGAAGTTCAAGCAGGAAAAAAGTTAAGAAAAAAAAACCATAGATTGGAGTTTTGAGCTTAGACCTGCACAACTGTACTTTAGATTTAGAAGTTAAACAAGGCTTTAGATCCGTTAAGTTACCGAAACGTTTCAGAAACAGGCCCCAGCAGGTCCTAAACAAGAAACCAAGCCAAACCTGGCAGTGGGAGGCAAGCGTTCTCACAACACTGCCATCATGTCTCCATCGAATATTTTCTCGTTCTGAGCCTCTTTCTTTTGTCGACAGATTAAACTTATTGCCAGAAACCTATGCATTCTTAACCTGATGAGATAAGGTTTCCAGTGACTCCAGCTTATCTTGACAGTAGAGCCTGGATTACGATCACTAAACAGTAACACCATCTCTCGTGCGACATCTTTACGGCAGCCAGCTTTGATCCAGTTTTCTGATTGGCAATGTCCTGCATGGCAAGGATATAGACAATTTTTATTAAGTCTAACAAAATATGCTAGCAAAAGATCAGTAACACCTCGCACAGAACGGTGGCGTCCTCTGTTAGATTCATATGAAATTCCATTTAATTTACATTTACCTGATCCGCTAGCTAATGATATGAACTCCTGGAAAGTCAGTATAAGGATACAAAGCTGGAAAACTAATGAAAACAACAATCAGTACTCAATCTTAGAAGTTGCATTACTTGTAAACGCCCGAAGCTTAGAAAAAGATATCCCTGAAACGTCTTGTTATGATAAATGTATTTTGTTTAAAATCTAACCAGCTATAGCTCACTTTACTCGAGGATCCTCCAAATCAACCCCAAGGCCTTTTAAATTAGCTTTTGGAAATTTTCCTCCCTTGTAGTGTTCTATCAGAAGTTGAAGTGAAGTCATGAATCACGAATCGTAGCGACCAATGAAATAAGAAGGAATTATGAATTTCACGTTTAAAACGAACTACAGTTAACGCTTTAATTTCCAGAAGTGATTAACAAGTAACTTCTCCCTATAATATCCATACATTATCCAGCTAGCAAGTAATAAGAATACTCAAACTTATCAGGCGGAAGTTGTTATTCTGACCTAACACCAAATTCTCTTATCTAATTTACAGGGAGATGTGTAGCAGCTAAAGGGGAGAATTAGCGATCAAATCTTGGGTGTTAAAGGATTAAAAAGTGAATCATGAACATCGCAATCATCAGGTTTAAAAAAGACAGGAATCTCGAAAATTGAAGGTCAAATGATTCCCCTTGCATCCTGCGATTTTCTATACCTCAACTAAAGAAACCATAAATCCTTATTTTTTTACAACATTCAAGCCTGTTAGGGCAACCCCTCTGTGAGGTAGCATTCCGGATGCCGGCCACCATAGAAGAATGTAAGACGTAATGTAAAATTGTCAGAAATGTTCTCGGTCCTAACGAAAAGAATTATTAAAAATGACTTCAACGACCGTGGGGCGACATATCGTATGTCTTCCTATATTCATGTTTCAACGGTTTTGTTCAGTGGGTATATCATTGCCAAACTTCACCTTGAGGGTATTTTTTAAGAAAAACAACAAAGGAATCCGTGGTAAGAAATATTTTCCTAAAGTAAAATTGTGAATGATGGTTTAAGTATTCTAAACCCATTATCAAAAACTATGAGTTACCTACATACGCGTAGCCGGTACCACTTACGTTTTCCCATTGTAGACGTTCTGAAGTGTTCAGTAGTTCTTAAAAAAAAAAAAAGTTTCTATATTTCTAATAATTACAACCTGGATTTCAGTCTTATCAAACTTGTTGGAAATAAAAAACAAGTTAAAGCCTAAAACGTTTTCAATGAACTTTTTAAAACGAAGATGAGGCGTTTTATTGTATTATATAAAGAATTTTTTTTACTAATATAGGACTGTCGCCGGCTTGTTTCATTGCCATGGTAACTTAGGTAGCAACAGCACCCTTAACGTGCTTACTTGATGTGCCATGAAATTCTCCTCATTTTTGAAATTCAATAGCTCTGACTATATTAATTTGGTTCATTTTTTAGTTATCAAAAGTTTTGTGAAACTATTAGTGGGAAACGCTCGCTCTCGAGCTCAATCATAAGCACACTCCATCGCATATCTCTCATTTACCGCTCAAAGAGCAACGCTCATCATGATCTAAAAGCCAACATATGGCCTTTTCAAAGAAGATCGCAGTGAAGTCAGTGTAACCTTTGTTTTATGCGCTGAATTGATATCATTCACATATAATTCCACTTGTCTTAGAAATCCATCTCCAAAATTACAATATTTCGGATAAGAAAACCCCTACTACGCATGAGGGGACGTCATTTTAGACAAGCTGTCGTCAAAGAGGCATTGTTTCAGCTAAGAAACTTAACACTGTAGAGTGAAAATTTATACTCCCATTCACCCAAAAGTCTGCAAACGTGGACAGTTTCCGACAGCACTGAATTGTGCTGAGGCGATATTTTTAATACGTATAGGAACAATGTGCTTTTGATTTCCGAGACAGTTTTCCACAAAATTTCATGTTTTTTTCCGTATCTGAATGCAGCTATTAAATGCATAAAACATGACACATATACAAGAGTAGAGAAGAAGACCTTCATTTAAACAAGGTAATCCGTTCAGAAGACATGGTATTCTGTTAATAATAGGAGCCCTGTAATTTAAGTAAATGTAAATCATTATAATGCCTTGCTTAAAGAAGCATTAATGAGGCTTCAAAGGGAATTTATTAGGATTTTTTTTGAAAACGACAAAGAGAAAGAGTATGATACAGATAACATAATAGTGAGCATCCATTTCATGATTATTCTGTTCTGTGATTATACTCTCTGTCATTACGTGATATTGATTACAAACGTTGGTCGACCAAGTGAGCATATGAAGGCTTAATGTTTTAATGCACCTATGCTAACCAGATATTTCTAAGGTAACCTTATTTCTACACCACGAGAATTTAAATGCCTGCAGTGACCTGGTGATGGTGAGAGGCCATAATTTTTCTTTCTAAGGATGGCTGCAGATCACAAGTCAACGAAATCTTCTCTTTGCGAATCTGATGCTTTAGGTTGTGTTCCTAATGGGAAGGAGATCCTCCGGCCCACTTAATGGGTATGTGCGTATTTCATGGTGATATTGATCCCGAGTGCGGTAGCACCATCTGGGTGGGAAAAGGCTGCTGTGTACTATTCGCGAGTTGAAACGTGATGTTTTACAGCAAAATCAATCGGCAAAAATGAATAACACAGTACCAAACAATTTCAACCCAAAGAACAACAATATTTAAAAAAAATAGCAAAACAAGTCCCTGGTTCATTGCCAACACTGTCAGATGAGTGGGTGAACGCAGTTGAATGAGAAGCTTAATTGTTGTTGCATGACATTTGCCATTAACAACACGTTTCTCTTCTGCATTGACAAAAACGCCACATGAAGCTCACTCTTGTAATTACTTCAGCGGCAGAACGGCCAGTACTTCTCAGTGCGATCAATAAAGCCCATTCTGCATTTTCTTTTAAAAAAAAAAAAACATAAATTACACATTAACCCACCTGTGTTGTACATATAGCTTGAAAAAAATTCGTGTTTCGAGTCATCAGCATTTCCCAAAGTGTATGAATTATTGTTTACGTACTTACATTCAATAAATCAGTCGGACTTGGTAATTCGCCACCTACAGGAATGTTAGCATCTTTACTTGTCCTTCACATTTTACGCTTTTGACCAAATGTTTTTGTGCCTCCAATTAACTAAATGTAAAAAAGTTCCATGTTAACTGCTCTCAAAAGTATATTTCCCTTTCTTCTGAAAAGCTCCCGCAGTCCCAATCAAAAACAAAGATCTTCTAGATTACATTTCTCTACCTTACTTTATATGCGCGTTTCTGTAACTTTCTGCGCTCTCCTGATATTTCATATTTTGTGTATTTCACAATGTTGTAAATTTATAACTCGCGGCAGAATTCTTAAGACAATATTCAAATTAAAGCTAATTGTGCAGCAGACGAGAGGGTGACAAGACTTCCTAAAATGTCTAAGGGCGATTACTATACCTATGTTGAGAATATCGGGTTAACACATTGCTTTTTCTATCGCTTATTATTCCCTCTTGTTGAATATTTGTTGCTAAGTCCTCGTTCCCTACGTAACGCTGACAACATAAAACGCTTTTAAAAGCTCGTCTAAAACTGCGGTTCATCAAACCATAAATAATAGAGTTCATGGCACTGTTAAACATGGCAAGCCAAGTAGTCGCCACGTAAAAAGAATCGTCCCATTTACAGCTTGGGTCAATAATGCAGAATACGCCGACTGAATGAGGAAACCAGCAAAGGCAGAACGTTCCCACCACAATGCCAATCATAACGGTTGCTTTATATTCCTTTTTAGTCTTTCTTTCCTCGGTCGGGACTTTTTTTCCACTCTTTTGTGAACATCTTTCGGAAGAGATTTCACCGACTTTTATGATATCAATGCGCTGGCGCTGCCTTATGGCTGTTTTTAAAATAATACAGTACAACACAGCTGTCACAAGGAAAGGTACATACAAGAAAATGATGGCGAAAATGAGCGAGTAAACAATACTCCGTTCCCAATTCACTGTACAGATCGCTTCGAACTCTAAGAACTTGAACTCAGAGAAAATGAACGTGGAAGAGGCACATAAAACAGCTTGCAACCAAATGTAGCCAATGATGATTTTCACGCGTTGGGTAGTGATTAATGTTTCGTAATTCAAAGGATAGACTATGGCTATGAATCGTTCGATGCTTACGAAAGTTAGTGTACATATCGACGCCTCGCAGAAGATAGAGTTTAACGCGCCAAGGATTTGGCACATTACTGTTCCAAATTCCCAGTCATAAGTTATGGAAGAAACGAGCGTGAAAGGCATCGCAAATACGGCGAGAAATAAATCGGCGATCGCTAAGTTCAAAACAAAGACATTCGTCTTGGTTTGTAGACAAGTGAAGCGACACAAGGAAGTCAAAATCAAAGAATTCCCCAGTACGGCAGCGAGAATTATTAAACCCAAAATGGTTGCTTCGAAGCAAACTGTTAACAAGGAACGTGGGTCGCCTTCTGTAGTTGCTTGCGTAGATGTATTGACTTTCTGTGAAATATCCATTCTTTTGCGCTTTCCCTCGTGTTGCGAACGGAGACCAAGGCCAGAAGTAGAGAATCTCCAAACAGTCGCAGATTGACTCAAAAATCGACACTATTTTGTAACAGTTTGTCACGAAGCTGGATAAGCGAACAGTTTACCCTATCAAATCGAATGGACGTCACTGAATGGTCATTAATATTTCATTCAAAAGCGTAATTAGATGAATAAGAGAGAAAACCTGGAAGGCGGCAACGCTCTATGTTCACCGGTCAAGTAGCCAAATCGAACTTTTCCTTACACTGTGGTGGTTTTCTCGAAAAAGAAAATACGCTTCCCACTTACAGGAAAATTCTCGTTGAAACTATATCAGGCTCAGTCTATAAAAAAAAATCTCATGTCGAAAATGCATATCAAACCTGGTTACTGTTCCAAGGCGTAAAAGTCGCGCTTGAGTAAAGACGATTTTACATTCAGTCAAGTTGTAATTGTACAGTTGCCCTTGTTCCCGTCAGCGAATGACTGTCACCTTCTCTTGACAAATTTTTGCCACCGCTTTCCTTAAGCAATTTCTGAGTCTGGGATGTTCGGCTGAAACAAACGGACTTCACCCTGTAACTTAGCTAAGCTCCGCTTCACGAATTTATCATCCTTCTACGTTTGATACTTTTATTTGTTGTTTATGTTACAGGCAGCCACATAACTTTCTAACAAATAATTAAAGCTCGATCAGGAATTACTAGATACTTACGCATTATTTCCAACTAATTCTATCTTTTTGTTTCTGCTAATTACCCTTGGGTAATTAGCAGATTGTTTTAACTGAGAGTGACATTCTGACAGACATTAAGAAAAAACACGTAAAATCGCTTTGAAATCGTCTCTTGTCACAAACGTTCCCGCAGAAAAAATTCTGAATTTTAAAGTAACGAACTTAAGCGGAGACTTTTTCTCCAAACCATAGCCAGCCGATAACGCGTCCATTTCGATTATAAACAACTCCAACGCTCGTTTTAGCAATTTAGAGAATTAAGAGCTTTAAAAAAATTACTACCACGTTCCTTTTTTAGCAATTTAGAGAATTAAGAACTTGAAAAAAAAAAAGACACATTTATGGCTGTCTTCTCAGATTCTCTTGAAAGACGTGAAAAAACAAAAACAAAAAAAAAAGACGCATTTGTGGCTGTCATCCCAGAGCCTCTGAAAAGACGTGAAAATTCACTTGCTGGCAGAAAGTGCTTAGCTGTGTAAACACAACTTCGACATCGCCGGAAAAATTTGTTTGGAAACGTTAGTCAAGGTTGACGGAGGACTTTCCTCATTTAATTTTCCTTATTTAATTTTCCTCCTTTAATGTAACAAAGGTTTGGTTCTGTTAAAACAAACCCTGAGAACTTAATAGCTGAAAAAGCTGAGTAATACCATACGGACAAACTTGCGTTTTCCTCTTTTTATGGATGTTGAAACGTTAAATTAGTAAAATGGATACAAAGAAACGCAATCCAAATTGCAGCTGAATCTACAATCTGTAAAAAAAATTTGCATTTCTAGGCGGTTAGAGGACGTAAATTTGTTAACAAAATATGGTACTTTGAGAATCTCAAACAACCTGTATTGAACTCTGACTGCTCCTAAGACAGCGAGGTTTATTAATTTTTTAAAAAACCTTGGAACACATTGATCGTTTTTTCAAAAGTTTTACCACTTCTTCTTAGAGCAGGTTTGTTGCACAACGTGGTGCAAAGTTGAATGTCATCAGAATTCAAAAGCCCCAACGGTTGTCATATTTTCTGTCCACTCGTGTTCAAAATCCAATATTGGGCTGCAGTAGAGAGGGTCTTGTTTCATACATTGTTTGGTTTGCCGGATAAACCTAGGTTAAAAAAAAAGGTCAAACGAATTACTTTTACCAGCTGGAAATACAAGACAAAGGAGGCTTGCTCAGTTACGTTTGATAACGTAAAATATTGGGTAGACTTAGTTACATCTAGCACCGACTCGCTTGCAAACCGTGTAAACAATTTCGCGATCGATGATGTTTTGAGCGACAATTATTCATACCCTAGCATTATAACGCGAGCGTTTTCGGGGTTTCAACGGTATAGGAACAATACACATAACGTTATCTATCGTTGATAAAACATACGTTAGCAATTAAAATGAAACGTGTGATCCACAAAGAAACCTGAATTATTTGCGCACATAAACGAGAATTCAGCAACGTTAAGTTCGTACCCTGGACGTAGGCAAAGCATATTTTTTGAAAGTCATTCTTGGATCCAATTTAAAAAAATTATCCTAGAAAAATCGGAATGAGTTTCAGCTTATTGGGGATTGGATGGTGGTCAGCCCTAGATTTGATTAAGAACAGTGAAACTGGAAAAAAAATTCATTGCATAATTGTAATTTTCAGTGAGACATTTTGATAAGTAGATATTCCATTTTCAAAAGGACCAGTCCCTAGAAAGAAATTCTCGTAAGAAATCTGTCAAATTTTAAGAGGCATGTCGTATAGGATGCAATAATGCAAACACCCACTTTTTTAAATTTATCAACAGGCTATTTGTGAAAAATTTCATAATAAAAAAAGACACTCTGAATGACGGAGACGCGCGATTAGAGCAACGAATCGACTCATCAGGAATTGCGACAACGACTATTTGAAGCGAGCATAATAAAAATTTCCCACCTTTCTTTATCAAGTGCAAATTAAAGCTGACAGCTTGCTCAAGCTTTTTATCAAAACATGGTTCTTTCCAAACATCGACTTGTATTGTACATCCATTTTTGTAAGCAGAAGATTATCAAAAGAAATGCATCAAAAAAGCGGGTAATATTAGAGATATGAAAGAAGAAGAGCAAATCCGTGAGAGGAGGGTGACATTGAAAGCAAAAGAACCTCGCTAACTCGAACTTCGAAAAAAATGCAATTAATTAGTGGTATATGGGAAACGGGTTATTCAGTTCGAGGTGGCAGAAAGTATTGAAGTGAGGGAAAGATGTCATAATTCGAATGAAGTGGCTTTGATGTGAAGTTCTTTCAAGTCGTGTTCCACTTAAAAAAAAAAAAAAACAAAAGAAAATACAGAACGGCTTGTATTGGTTTGCCTCTTTGTTTGCAGAAGCTCAACTACAAGTTATTAAAAAGTGCATCAATAAAGCGACCCGGGCGATATTTGGAGATGTGAATAGAGTACTGAGGAGCAAATCCAGGGAAGAGTGAGGGGGAATATCGAATAAAATAAAACTTTTCTACCTCGAAATTGTCAGAGAAACGAAAAAGTTTTGAGATACGAGAAATTCCAGGCAACTGATAGTAAGTAAGTTAGTGGGCAATGGCTCAGAGTGGAAATTCGAGTCACAGGGACGTTTGAGATTGAAGCACGTTACCGTCTTCGCTTGATTCCCGCAAAGAGCATTTAACCTTGTCTATCGGAGGCTCTAAATCTACCTTGTATCATATTGGCGTGGGGAACCCTGGCGCGTGTTAAGGTCTCTGTGTGAGCAGCAGATTAATAATCAGGACTAGAGTAGCGTTAAAGGATACAGTGAAACGCTATCAGATAGATGGAGTGGAAAAGTGGGCAAGATAGTTATAACTCTTGTATAAGTGTAACAGAAAGTTTAGAAACTGGGATATTTTCCCGCTCTGTGACTCTTGTTCACCAAACTGCAATAAAATTTCACAAACCTTACGGAATAGCACACCTTAGTTTAACCATTCAGCGCTATTCAAGGTGATGATCGGCTCCCTTGGCTGATCACTTTTTTCAACCCTTGAATCGAGAGCAAATTTTAATTTAAAACAAGTTGATAAAACGCTAATGGGTAAACAGGATAAGCAATTTTATCCTTTGTTGATCAACAAAAGTGACTCGTACTGTAGATAAATAGAGGATATTACATGGCTGCGCGGGGATACGAATTCTATCTTCGAGTGCTGAAAGTATCTCTCACGAGTTCGCTGCGCTCACTCGTGAGAGATACTTTCAGCATGAGAAGATAAAATTCGTATCCCCAAGCGGCCATGTAATGTTCTCTTTATTATATAGATACAGATGAAATTTCCGAAAACAGCAATTGGGTAATTATGTTGGTAACCATGGCCACACCAATATCCTCACACGTGAAAGATAAAAATAGTATCTTCACTACGCGCGGTGAAGATATGATTTTTTTAGTAAAAGGAGAAATCCTGGTATTTCATCAGTATCTATATAATAAATATCAATAATCTATTGTGAACATTTTCTGTTTATAGAAGTTACACAATCATGGACGTAACGAAGAGAATGACAAACTTGCCTTTATTTCTTAACGTTGGGACAAGGATTAAGGTACAAATACTATTTTGTCCGTTGCAAAAGTTTGAGCACAGCTGTACATATGACTGAGTTTTCCACGTCGGAGTTTCTATGCGGTATAATCATGCGATTAGGTTGGTGAATGAATTTAGAGGAGTGTTGCTTAAAACTAAAAAAAAAAATTAAAAGCACCTTGTTACTCAGTACCGATAAATAAAACGCTTGGCCAGCTGAAGTAACTAAACTAAATCTTTGATCTGACTGATAAAAACTTACTTTCCTCAGTAGCTTGGATGTCATGGTGGGAGGGATTATCTCATCCTTTGCAAGGAATCCCAGCAGCTGTATGAAGGGTTTACAGAACACCATCCGCCCGATGTAGTTAAGTAATCAGTGAAAGGTTTTTCAGTTAATGCTCTCGGCCTGTGTCAGACACATCTTGCTGTTAAGTTTCTCCTTGTAGTTTGAGGTAACGTTGCTTCTTTGCCTTTAACTTAGGGCTAACTACAACCTTTATCAACCTACGACTGCGAACTGACTACCTAGACGTTTCACTCGTTAGTCTACCAACGTGGCCGTTTTTTTTTTTTTTTTTTTTGCGGAACTAAAACCCTCGTTTCTTCTCAACCGGCTTCGTATTTCTTATCACTGTAACAATTCTCCCTCTTTTCGGAATATGGTTAAAAAAATGATGCTTCAACCCATTTACTCATTTGGTCTTTACTCATTTAAAAAAAAAAAAACAAAACAAAACAAAAAACAGGAACAAGGAACTTGGAAAACGACCACCACTGAGACTGAGAGACATCCGTTGGAAGACTACAGACTGTGTTATATAAGTGAGGTCGACTGATGAAATCCCTGGGAAGTTTAACTGTTATATTGGGGTTACATTAGTTTCCTTCCCATTTTAGTCTTTGGCCAAAGGTTTTCTTTCGTAGGGGAGACATCAAGTCTTCTGTTGAGATCCTTTCATACAGTTATCGGAGATGGACTGAATAGTCTAGCTCTTCGAAAGGGGTCAGAGTCCTACGTGTAGCATTTCGCATTTTCGTTTTGTAATCTTTTAATTGCCTCTTAAAGGGAAAGTACGGTCTAGTTAAATTTTATCTCCATTAGAGGACTTTTTCCTCGGGAGTTCGAAAATAACTGCCATTTTGTCTAGTTTGCTTTGCATTAGCGACAAGAGTGCTTCGAAGTTGCCCATTTTTACAACTTTTGTGGTTAGAAAAACGCCATCTTGGATATTACGTCATTGTAACGTAGCAATAGTCAAACGTAGTTCGGCACTTTGTTCTTGTTGACTAGTTTGACCTTTTGGGAAAACAATTTCTAATACTCCCAATAGTTGAAATGAGGTGAATAGTCCTGTTGTTGAATGTCAAAATACATACTAAAATTCAAAAGGAGAAGGTGTAAGCTTCTACAAGCTACCGGAAAGTGAAATATTAAAGAAAAGTCAGCCGGCAAAAATGACCTGCGACGACGGCTTTCCAAACCCTGTCAAACCTCAGAACTTCCAGAACGAAGACTTCCAGCGAGATATACAGCCATGTAAGTTTTCCTTGTTGACCTTCGCTTCGAACTGAAAGCTATGCTTACCTTTTCCATATTCAACACAGCTCTCAGCTATTTATTCTACGAGTTTTTTCAAACCATTTTATTGTAAGCGAATAAATTGAAGCTCGTAATGGTGGTACAGCGTGTGTGGTAAATTTTCAGTCGCCACCCTTGACCAAAGCCGATTTACAACATCATGCGCTTTTCCAAACGGTGTACAAATATATCTTGTCTTTCCTAAGTCTGTTATGAGTCCATCGAGTAAATTTTCTTTACCCGAACAGTCACATTCTCCTGAGGAGAAAAAACTACGACATTTAATACATCGCTAGCAAATTTTCAAGACAAACACTGATCTTAGTTCCAAATTGCTCGTGTTCCATTATACACCGAAGCTGGGTTCCTGTAACTGCAAAAATAATTCGTCTCATTCCGAGGTAGCAGTGTAAAATGAATCCGTAGCGGGCACTGCGGTCTTCTTTAGCAAAGTAACTATCACTCCACAGCTAGGATTTGTTTGAGGAAAAAACCTTTGCCTTTCGAATTGAGTCGGTGTCCTAGTACATTTAATTCTTAGGAGGATACATTCTCGTTTTCCGTAGGTTTCTCTTGACAGTTGCCGCAAGAGAACCACTCGCGATTTCCAAGACGTGAGCGACTGAGCGGGTCGACGTTTCTTCTTGAAATTCATTTTCTTGACTTTCTCTCTGTCTTTCTCCCCAACAGAAGTATCTCCTTCCCCTGAAGAGATCTTAGTTCCAAATGGCTCGTGTTCCGTTATACACCGAAGCTGGGTTCCTGTAACTGCAAAAATAGTTCGTCTCATTCCGAGGTAGCAGTGTAAAATGAATCCGTAGCGGGCACTGCGGTCTTCTTTAGCAAAGTAACTATCACTCCACAGCTAGGATTTGTTTGAGGAAAAAACCTTTGCCTTTCGAATTGAGTCGGTGTCCTAGTACATTTAATTCTTAGGAGGATACATTCTCGTTTTCCGTAGGTTTCTCTTGACAGTTGCCGCAAGAAAACCACTCGCGATTTCCAAGACGTGAGCGACTGAGCGGGTCGACCTTTCTTCTTGAAATTCATTTTCTTGACTTTCTCTCTGTCTTTGTCCCCAACAGAAGTATCTCCTTTCCCGGAAGACGAGCCATGTTTCGTTTGAAACATAAATGGATGTACTACATCCTCTCGCTAGATTAAAATCCAAGTTGAGAATTCAGTTTGTTGGCGCCCCCATCGCCGCACTATTCCTTGTTTCGACATCCTTTTCAGCAGGGTATATAATTTAACATTTTTTACTATTGCTACGTCATAACAAAGATGGCGGATTTCAATTTGAAAATTCCGATTTTTGGAACGTAATTGTTCACACCTAAAACGCTTTTAGCTCAAATGAATAGCCAGTTAGGACAATTAAGGCAAGGAACTTTTGATCTAAGTAAACTTTTTCTAGACCGTACTTTCCCTTTAACCGAGACCCAACGCTACTACACTATTAATAAAAAATGAGATAAAGGAGCCTATGAACAAAATTATCTTATCTTGTATGAGTTTTAGACGCCCAATTACAAACTCGCAAGTGATGATAGAAACCATCAAGGTGATCTTTTGGTAAGCTCGTCTCTTCGCTACGAAAACTCTCTCGCGGCCACCTACCCGAAAGGCAGGGTTGGACAATGACTTGATTTTCAGGCGAGGTTCGTCAGAATCACCTTTCCCATTTTATTTTTCGTTTTAACTTTTCGTTCTCTATTTTTCGAGAGACGTTTTCATTAAATTGTACATGAGTGAGTTTTGTTTAGCTGACAAAACCTCTGAAGAAGGAAAAAAAAAACTACAAAGATTTTGACGATGAAATTCGGGCAGCTCGACTTCTCCGCCATAGTTAAACCTAAACAGTAATTCTTCCTTTATTGATTTTTTTTCTTTTTTTTTTTTTTTTTTGCAATACCACCAAAGGAAGCCTTAAGCGGTGGAATTGAAAGTGGCATAAATTAAGAAATAGGCCTGACTAGCGTGAGATTATTCCTCATTTCTCGGACTGAAATAAGCTGACAACAATCCTTGTCGATCTCTTCTTTTTTTTTTAGCTTTTTTGCGCCAAAAGAAGTTAGTAATAATGCAAAAAAAATATTGTAACAGTGTACATCAGAATTAGCACTTTAATCAGAATCTTCCAAACATACCGACCAAACGTTATCAACGGCAGATAAAAATCAATAATCCTCTGACATCTTAACATAAAACGCATGATTTGCTTGCTGTTTGTTATTGCTATTTACTGCTACTCACACAGGACCGATATTTAAACATTATTCAATCTATTTATGTAAACAATGTTCTGGAAAGTTAACTTCCTTAGTTAAGTGCTGGGAAAAGGAAATTCAAAACAATAAAACGTTCGACAATACATCCTCCCGATTCGACATGCTTTCAGTGTTCCTTACTGCAAAAAGGCATAAAAATTAAAAAAAAATTATCTGTTCACAATTTTGTACCTAATACTCAAGCAAGGTTGTACCAAGTTTTATCGTTACATAGTGATATATTTTGATATATACGCACAAGGACAAAAAAATGTCCTAACCAAATTTATACCCTCGGGAAAAACTTTACAACAACCTTCAGGAGATATATTTACAACGTTCGAAAATGTGTTTCTAAAGCCTTAATGGAATCTTTCAAAATCATTCAAACATTTAGTTTCCTTAATCAGAATAGAAAGTGTTGTCAATTGAGTTAATGATGTAGAGCGATACGGAATACTTCAGCAGTATTTTCTTCTCTCTTAGTCTACAAAACTGGTATCAATTTTCTCTATCCTCGGCTTTTAGAGCCAAAACTCACAAGTCTCTGTGTGTCAAAAGACAACAGTTGGGTAAACTAATGTAAAAACCAGTTTTCATTAAAGTCAACAACATTCTGAACCATTGAACAAAGGGAAGCCGCACTGACTCGGATTCAAAACTTTAGAAACATAAATAGCTCGATTCACTGACCTGTTGTTTATTCAGTATGATTCCTTGAACTGGTTTCAAAACGTGCTATCAATATTCATGAGAATTGGGGGAACATAACAGCGGTAATTGTTCAAAAATTTTCAAAGCCGCTTTTTGAGAAATACTTGCCAGAATCTGAGCGGAACTTTTTAGTAACGCTTGTGTAACAGCACTCACGGTATTTCTTCAGACTCTAACGAACGTTTCAGACAAAAACAACTTTGAAATTTAACTTAACACTCTTTGCTAAAGCCACAACATAGCTTAGCATAGCTCCTTTGCGAGATAAAAATAAATCTAGACATTTTCAAAACACAACCGAAAGGTATACTGGCTAATAAAGTCTACTCTACCAGTAATATTTCTTCCGATTTATTTGTAATTGAATAGCTGAGATCGATTTTACATTAAAACTGACATTAATCAAGCGCTGGAACGGAATGTACTGTATACCCGCTGCCGGGCTTTTGGTGAAACTCGATCATCGGGGAATATCCGTACTTTTACTTTTCATATCTGATTAGATTTTACTCATTCAGTTACCTCCTTACGTTTTTAAAACGGTCTGACAACAGAACAATTTGCAAGTATGTCGCGGTTTTGTTGTGCTTTCTTTCTTAGCTGTTTGGCTTAAGTTCAGAGATTAAAAGAATTAACACGAAGTAATCATCCTAAAAGACCGCAGGACAGAAACCAATTCTGCAAACGAGCCAAAGGCAATTTTTATCAGAGATCGAAGAGGCGCTTCGGTAAAGATTTTTCTTTATTTATTTATTTATTTTTGTATTTTCTTGAGGCATATTTACATTCGGTAACTCTTTCCCCTGATGTTTTATAGTAGTAAATATTTACACAAGATAAGTCAAGGTGAAATGTACATAAAATAATGCTATTGAGTAAAGGCACTTCAGGGACTATTCACTGCTAATGAAATAAATCACTTATCACCCGCCCGCTTTTATACTTCACGTTCTGACTTGCGCGAAGCAGATATCACACAAGTACAAGCTGCAAAACAACTTTTGTGTGAGAGCAAGTGATTTTTCGGCCTCTTTAGTAAAGAAAACTCAGCGTCAGAAAAACGGAACATAAAAGTACTTTTATGGGGAATAACATCCGTCTTAATTCCGTGCATTCACGTCTGCTTTAATTTACAACTTTTTTCGGTGTACTTTCCGTCTGCTTAAGTGATAATTACAACCACGCGCTGAATTATTTGCCATTGCTAATTGCTGTGCATAGAACAATGGAAAAACTATAAACGATTTAATTTAGGATAAAACGAATTCAGCAACGAAGGAAGATAGTTAAATTTTACCGTCGATCGGCGCTACGGGAGAGAACATTGAAACAGACAGAGGACGACTTTGAGTCTGCTCCGGAGCTGCAGTCAGTGAGCTTACTTCAGATGCAAGAAGCGAAGACTCAAACAACAAACTTTTGAAATTTTCTATTTTCCTGCAATAATTATATTTCTATTGCCAGGTGGCCAGCGGTGACAAAGACAGGTGACATCTAACGATTCTTGTTTTATTGACAGCTGGGTGGAATGGCGAGAAAGAGAAAGAATAAAAAGCCATTAATCGGCAACCAACAACTCTTATTTCATATTCTTTGAAAACCCACGTGTCAGTCACAACAAGGCTCCGAATGTGATTGGCTTGCTAAACTAAGCTAAGTGTCCGGCACAACCCTTTGAAATGACTTCATTCTTTTTAAGTTTGGAAAGCCGGTTATTTTCATTCATATCTGAAATGCTTTTTAGCGCCGCTTCGTCCAAGAGTCAAGTTAATTGTCATTCGCTAATTCTCAAAAAAATTTCCCCCACCACAACCTCGAAAAAACAAGATGGGGGAAAAATAAGTTAGGCCTGTCTAGCTGGTTGTTATCGCTGATTAAATACTTTCAAATGATTGAAAAATTGATATTTGGGGGCGATGTTTTTTAAATAATTCAGTTTGTATTCGTCCGCTAAATATTTCATATATCAACGCATCAAACAGTGTTTTGAAAGTCACGTCAAAGTTAAGTGCACAGGGTTTTGTGCGTGAAATGTAACTTTCCTAAGTCAGGGAAGTTCAGATTGCGTCGAAATCGCTTCTCAGGAAGGCGAAGAGTTCACTTAGTTTCAAAAAGATGAATTGAGTCTGTATATTTCCTAGAGGTATTTGACGCATCTCCCCAAACACCGACTTACAATGGGCGTGAATTATTCCACGAATCAGGCACCATCATCACTGTGTTTGTTGTTTCGTGAGAAATATAAAATGAAACAGTAATGGGCCACCCACGACCAATCAGAGACGCGCTTCAACTAAAGCTTTCTGACATTTGCTATTAATCTGGCCTCTCGCAGAAAGGTGCACAATTCTTCTAAAACGTCGTCACTAGCCAAGCAAATCGGATGTGGACCAAGAACAACGACACGACATTTCCACTCGGCATGAATACAGATCCTCATCTGGAAGACATGGAAATTGACAAAAACGACAAATCGAAACCTAACGGTAAATTTCTCTTCGAATTCTATTTTTCTGGCAGTGGAAGTTTTCGGCACCTGCCTTGTAGTGTTTTGTATCTAAAACTTGCTTCCCTAAGTTTTCCACGAAACACTTTTTTTGTTATTTTGTATTTGATTTTCATCCTAAAGGACGTCTGTTAGACATTCCCTGTAAAGTGTGCGGTGATCGATCTTCGGGAAAGCACTACGGAATTTACGCATGCGACGGATGCAGTGGATTTTTCAAGAGAAGCATTCGACGGAACCGTTCCTATACTTGCAGAGCAACAAACGGCAAGGGGAACTGCCCCGTGGACAAAATCCATAGAAACCAGTGTCGTTCCTGCCGTTTGAAAAAGTGCTTCGAAGTCACCATGAACAAAGATGGTAGGAAGAATAATTCTTCGCGGTTAATTACTATGGGCGTTGAGTAGGGAAATTATTTTAAGATTTGCACTGTAAGCACGAGCAGACGTAAGAATTTTCGTATTCGCTTTGAAACCCCTCGCAAGCGATTTTACCTCACTTGCTGGCATTGTTAGCTTTATTTATTAATAAGGTAAATACGAACTGCGGATTTCAACCAAATTTAACACGGTCCTTTAATTCGAATATTTACATTTTTCTTATTAACACCCTCTAAAACAAGCAAGGTAGATCGCTTAATCGCTAATCGGATTCTCCAAGGCCTCGTTATTTAATCCGGTTGACTTTCAGTTCGCGTAAAGAATGGAGGTCTTTAACTATATCGCGAAATCCTTAGAGGACCAACCTTTCTCGAATTATTTCGGTTAATAACGATAACACTCTAATTTCAAACACATTTCTCATTAAATGCATGGGTTTCTTTTTATAAAGTGAGCACTTTCCAAACCGGATCTAGGGAAGGTTAATTTAAAACACTCATTTTCTCCCTCGATCTTTTAAAACAGTTTGGCCAAAAAAAAAAGTAATAACAGAGTAGAATTTGAGGCGAACTCTGCGGTTCTCTTTTGTTTTCAGTCTCTTTCAGATAAAATCAATTTCGCTAAAGCATTACTTTGTAAATGGATGGTCCACCCTTTGTCCGCAAGCGTAGGGCTAAACGGAACATTATAATAAAATTACGTTAAAAGACCTTTTTTCTGTATTGAACATAAAGAATTAGTGATTGATTTTCGAGCCAAACTTTTAACTTGAGGCACAGTTGTCATAGTCTTAAAGTAGAAGTCATTTAAAAGTCATTTTCTAGGCGGTTGCTTTTAAACTCTGATATAAAAATATACCGTTTTGTTTTTGGATTTGAAAAAACGTTTGGCAATTCAAAAATCATTTTCTTAACCTCTTTTTCACTTTAATGTTCATGACAGTGAATCTTTTTAAACACACCTATGAAGTAAATTGTAAAATATCCCTCGAAAGAAACGACGAAGAAAGTTTCCATCCCTTTTTTAAAGTATTAAGTATCTCGGTCTTTGAAATTCATCGGAAATTCGGACCCAAAAAAGTTGGGATATAGATTTCAAGAAAGTCTATAAGTAGATTTTCTCTTACATCCATCAAAACATTTATGAACCCAAATTTAAGCGAGTTTATCAATGGCACAAAATATGCTAGATTTCATGGGCGCTAGTCCATTTGTTTTCAGGATTTAGATTAATCCTCGAATCATTTACACATGCATTTGGCTTGTTTTTCCTTTTTTTTCCCTGGAAATTGAAAATCTTACCAAGGTTTGACACTGAATGAAATGAAATTTAAATTTCTTTGCACTCTTTGAAAAAAGGAAAATGCAGAGTTTCCTTTTCACAGGAAGTACAAAATCAATGAGTTTCAATGTGTTCATTAGTTGGAAAAATCCTAACTGAAGAACGTGTAATTAACGCCAGAAAGCCACAGGAAAATCGCACGCTTTTCAACTTCTGAGCTCTTCTTGTCAACAAAAACTTGGGATGAAGCAAAGCCTTCTACTCGGTTTTTCAATTGCTTTAAAAAACCGTCGAAAAGAATGAAAAGTAATTTGGCTCTGAAATGCGCCAAGACACAGCACATGGGTTCAGAAGCCATATGAATACGTTCAAAGCGTTTAAAATCACTTAAAATAAAATAATTTTTTGCATCACGGTGGAAATTCACGGCGTTCGGTCAATGAAGGTTTTCCATGGCTGAAGAGGAAAGCGTTTGTTTGCAAAAAGGGTATTTGTCTTCAAAGGAAAGCACCAAATAATTGATTTTTACTCATTTCGTTCTTTCCGATTTTATAAATTTTGTAAAGATTCGAAATCATAGACTGTTTCTGTGCGCTCCAAGCTTTATCTAATTTTATTGACGGTTCATATTTAATGTAGAATGTTTCTATAGTATTTTGAATCGAGTTTAAACGTGTTGGCATACGCTTGTTAGTTTTAATGAAAACTGAAACAAGCCATGGATGAGTCTAAGTCCAAATAAGATTACATAAAAATTATCGAAAGTACTTTAAACCTTTTTAAATTGCGACGAGTAAACGCAGAGCTCAACAAATATACAGGTTAGCAAGAACTGAACAATTCGTTCATAGTGAAACAATCGCTCGACCGAAATAAGGTTTTTTGTTTGTAAGTTTAGATCCCATTTCATCAAAATTGCAACATTGTAAAACTTTTCGTGAGGATTGCCTGCTTTATTTCTCAATACCTGAGATACCTCAACCAAGGATAACTATCATACGCGTGGAAAATAACGTTTCGCGAAGAAATAATTGAAAGCAACAAAGTTTACTGAGATCGTTTTTTATCGGCTTCCTAACTTCTCTGATATATCATCCCTCTTTCCTGAACTAGAATTCCGGAATACACCCACTTATGCTGATCTAAGCATTTTACTTTAGGAGACCAGACCCCTGGGGAGACTAGTGGAAGGTTTGGCTCGTTTTCAGAGCCAAGAAACGGGGGAAATGATAAAGTCTCAGCGTGACCATATCGTTGTTATCTTTCGTTCTTCGTACAAAGATTCGTAAAGTGGAGTACTTCTGTCGGTTACGAGAAATTTGTTTTCTAGACTTCGTCATGTCTGTAAGTAGCATTTAAAATGTCTCTAAGAAATCTAATTTTTCTTCTTTCCCTGAGAGAGATCTTTATTCTTACGGCTTACGAACGTTTTCAAGGAAAATGGCGATGCCACGACCCTTGCCTGAATTATCTTTCTACAGCAACAGTCGTATACATACAAGAACTTTGTGAGTTACATAAGATGTTGAATTTTAATAGAGGTTTTCTTTGTTTTGGTTTCTAAGTTTCATCTGTGTGACTCCCACAGCGAGTATCTGTGGAATTCCGCTGCTAAAGAGGAGATAATTCAAATTGCTGCGGGAGAGAACTATTTATTAAATCATGGAAACACCGGCTAGAGAGGTCGGAAGGCAATTTAGCTTGAACACGTCGTCTCTTGAGGGGTGAACGCTTAAACTCGTGGCTAACAGAACAGATCAAAAAGTTAAGAAGCGATGAAAGTAAAGACGTAAACGCACGAGTGATTATAAAGTCTGGCTTACAATTCACCCCAATATGATTGTTGGATAGATCTATGACAGAAAAAAGTTCACGTACTGATTTAGTAAGCTATTTTCTCAGAAAATACTGATTTACGGTTCACCCGCTTTTTGGTTTTTAGCACGAAAAGTGTTTGCGTAGGCAGTAGTCGAGGTGTCCCTTAATGGGAAATGATGAATAACTTTTGGTATGAATTTCTATCAATTAGTCGTTAAAGAGAGAAAGAAAGACTTTCTCCTCATCCTTATTTAACAATGTGTTATCGACATTCTCAACTTGAAAACGTGAAAATTTCATTATCACTTTTGGTAGGCGTCAAATCAAATTGAAGCTTCCTATGAAAATTCGTAGAGGATAAATATACCCTTCGGTGTTGATCGATCGAGTATCGACCGAGCGAGTTTCAAGACATCTGCAGGGATGAAAAGTATCTTTACACTTTGAGGGACTCGATAAAAGCAATTTAGCCAATGTTGGACAGAAAACGGAAAGTATTTTGATTTCATCGGTCCCTTAAATATTTAATCTTATCAAGGTTTTCAGGCTCCGTTATCAGAAGATCAATAGTACGTATAGTATACAAAGTTTTTACCCATTAAAAATCCATTACCAATTTGAGTTCAGTCAGGTTTAGTTGTTTGACTACTTACACTTAATTTAACGAGCGTTTTCCATGTTGTAATCTTAGTTTTTTCTAAAAGGAGTTCTTTGTTTCGACTGAAGAAAACAAGTTTTTTTGTCTAGTCTCCTTTTCTCCCTTGTTATTTTATTCAAACTCATTCGTGACTTATGGCACATTGTTCAAGACAAACTTGTATGCAAATGTTCATGAATACGACAAACCTCTTGACTATCGTCGTTAACTACGATTAGGGGCTTTCAGACAACTGAAGCATTTTCTAACTGAAGTCACTCGATCACTCCTGGCAAAAAATCTCGCTGTATCAGCAGTTTCGATTCAATACATTCTTGATGAATTACATTCGTTAGAAACACGCAAGATGTTTCATCGGAACAGATAACTGAGGAAAAGAAAATCTTCAGCGTGCTCACACTCCACCTCTATGGCGTTAAATGAATTCTTTTCGAATTCATTTATCAGAAATCAGCCTTTGAAAAACAAAGTACTAAAGCTGGCGATAATCACTTTCAAGAGGCGATAATTAAAGTAACAGTTTTCATAGAATTATCCGCAGGGAGTCAACATTACATTAATAATTCAAACTGTCTCAATATACTTCCCAGCAGTAAGTTCTCCTCGGGCTGAAGATCAAACTGTCTTAGAAAAACAAAACAACCTGTTTAGCACCTGCGCTCAGCTTTTGAACAGAAACTTGTTGAGAAGAGAGTGAATTTAAGTAAAATATCATTTTGTCAAAAACTCGATGAGCTAGAAAGCCATTCGACCACAGGAATACACATGCCATGCTTCTTAATTTCGTTGTATCGAACCGCTGAACATTCTCGTCGAATCAGTAGTTTCAAAACATTCAAATTAATTTAGATTTCAGTGAAGTCTGTGCTTTGATTAGAGTCGTATTCTAATGACAAATATTTCGTTTAGTTCGATCTTGATTGCTATCGGCAGGTCTTTGACATTGTGCGGGTGGCATATCTTCGAATGTAGATTCTTTGCTTTGGGCTGGGTTAGTTGTGATCGAGTTCAGTAATCTGTCTTTATCACAACTTGCAAACATCTTCTAATTGCGCGTAATTTTCTTGCATTTTCCCTCGTTGTTCTTGATTATCGCCTGTGATTTGATTTATCGCGGTGATATGACCTCTCTAATTGACAGAACCTATGAATTTTTAATGATAATTCTTAGGGCACGTGGAAGATCTAAAGAAGTGATAAAGAATATTTCTTAACAGAGATAGCACGCGCTGTTTTGGCTCGTGGACACCTCCTTTGTATTTGAATAAGGCACTATAATCTTTTTTGACTATTATTAGGTTCGTTTCATTTTATTACCAACTGATCTTGATTGATCTCGACGGTTTTTGTCAAAGGCTCGTCTTTGTAGTCAAACCGGTTTGTCTCTATGGTAATTATGACTGTGTGTACTATTTTAAGTATCGCGCCACCGGTCAATTCTGCATAGAAGAGTCTCTCACCCTTTCATTTTCTAGAATTACTAATTCAAGTACACTACAAATCAAAAAAGATAAAATAACAAGTCATATAAAAATTAAAGCAGGTAAAAAAATTTGTTGACGATACCACAGCGACACTAAGAGTTCTTTTTGAGCACGCTCTTTGCAGAAAAAGCTGCTCTTCTTTGTAGAAAATTCAAAAATCGGCAACATCAGCTTCACTGGAATAAATCTAATTCTGCTTCGAAAATTGTCCCCAACTTAAGACGACACACTCTCTTGGTTGTCTTGTGATTGGTATATAGTTTTTCCTTTTTTCAACCCATTCAGTCACGATGAACGCAAAGATTCTCACTTATATCAGTTTCGTACGCGATTTTAAGGTTTTTGAAACTGTCCTTTCCTGTCACAGGTCCTAATTTGTCTTAAGTCTTCCCTTTGGATAAAAATTCCTTGCAATTCTTTACCATTCTTTTACGGCACGTTTAAAATTAAGTACTACGAGTAAAGCGAAAAAAAAAAGTAAATTGGATGATTTCCTTCGATCGAGAAAATACCACAAAGAAAACTTGTACGCTAGTGATGACGTTCGGGACTTTAGGCGTGCCTCAGGTGACCACTGATGTCCTTTTAATCTGTACAGCTGTTCAGCACGAGCGTGGGCCCCGAAGCTCCACCCTCCGGAAGCAAAAGATGCTAAAAGAGGCCCAGGACAGAATGGATGTCGCTACCACTACAGCGCATGTGCAGCCCAATACAAGCAGCTTCATCAATACTCTCTTAGCGGCGGAGACTTGCATGGAAGGCTGTCAAGTGCCGGTCAGTGATTTCGACCTTGGCTTGGAATTCAAACCAATCAGATTTCAGTCGGATTTTTCGGTGTCTTTGTACTATTCCAATCCCGAAGCTGTATGTGAGGCTGCTGCTAAGCTGCTGTTCATGTCTGTAAAGTGGGCCAGAAATATTCCTTCGTTCATGAGTTTACCTTTTAGAGATCAGGTGAGAGAACAATAACATGCTGTTTTTGTCAAAGGAGAATTGTTGCGAACCGTTGATAAGTTTTTCAAGGGCTAAACGTTATCACTTAAATTGAGATTTTAGTTGAAATCCTCAGTTTCTCTACGTTAGGTGTTATTTGTAATAATTGATAGAGAGACTCTTGTTTAACCAGATCAAAACCAGGTTATATCGCTTTAACATTTGTCAAACACGCCGGAAGGGGCCTTAAAACATATTTCTTCAGGTGACTCCATAATTTAATCGCCTTTATCCAATTCAAACTACTTCGACTAACGTTGACTCCAGTGTGGCTCATACTGCATAGCTTCTCCAGGGAAACATAATTCCTAACTCCTTAATCCTCAATTTACTGTTAGCCTGAAAAGAGTTTTGCGTCAGTGAAGCAAATTAGAAATCAAGCTTTCTCAAAGAAAATCTTTTAAGTCGAAATAAAACTATTATTGTTTTTTTAGATATATCAACAAAGTTGAAATGATAAATTGGCCACCGTAACGATTTACAAAGTTAGCCCTTCGCTCCGACGAAGGACTAACGCTCGAAACGTCAGCTTTTGTAATCGTTACGGTGGCCAATTTACCATTTCAACTTTGTTGATATATCCAAATTATTTCGTTACTCCCAACGACGCAGCCCCAAACAGTTTCTTTCGAAACTATCAGCCATTATTATTGTTTTTTTGTTATTTGTTGAAGTAAAATGCAGAACAACTTACCAAAAGAAATTAAATAACGATCAGCTAAAGAAAGAATTTACTAACTCAGGTTTATGCAAATGATTTTATTCAAGGTTATTCTGCTTGAGGAGGGTTGGCGCGAATTGTTTTTGCTTGGTGCAAGTCAGTGGTCCATGCCTCTGGAAATTGCACCAATTTTGTCTGCGGCGGGAATGCACGTGGACAACACGCCTCCCGAGACTATTGTGGATGTCATGGCAACAGTGCGCCTAATCCAAGAAACAGTCAACAAGTTCAAGGCTGCAAATGTTGATTCTACCGAATACGCATGTCTGAAGGCTATAGTGCTATTTAAGCCAAGTAGGTGGACGTGCGCTTGTTCAAAAAACGTTTTTCCGTCAACTTGATTAAGACAAATTTCAAACATGGCGCTAGAATTTTTCGATATTGGGGGTAGGAGAATCTGAAAAAAGAACTTTCTCCCCTGCCTAATTTTAAACCCGACTAATCAACATTTTCTTGATCTTTCAGCTGCGTGTGGGCTCAAGGACCCTGAACAAGTGGAGTCCACACAAGACCAGGCGCAACTCATGCTTGGCGAATATGTTCGTGCCCAGTGCCCTACTCAACTGGCCCGGTTTGGTCGTCTTCTCCTTCTCCTGCCAACCTTAAGACGAATCAGTGCAAAAGAAATCGAGGAGCTATTCTTTAAAAAGACGATTGGAACTGTTCCTATAGAAAGATTGTTGAGTGATATGTTTAAAAACGAGTAAAGCATGATCGAGCTAGTCAGTGAGTTTCAAATTTTATATCGAGTTCAATTGACTATCTTGAAATTCATTACAGATTATCGTCTTTTCCTTTTTTGTGCATGTTCGCGATATTAAGGTGTTGCGTTGAAGAGTTCCTCAGAGACTGATGGACAGGAAAATTGAGAAGCTTAATTTAATGTATAAATCTTTGGCCCAAAATTGGTGTATTGTGTGTATTTGGTTTTGCTACAAACGAAACAAATCTCCACAAACAGAGCACTTTTCCATTGATTGTCAAAAAGCCCAAATTTCTGCACTCAATTGAAAACTGCTCCATATGTAAGGTGTGTTTTGATTCATTCTTAACAGTGGACTGTTTTAATTTAGCACCCTCGATGGTGGGAGGTATCATTTATAGCCTTTTTTCTACTTAAATTGCGAAGGAATTCATTTTTACACTCGAGTTACTCAACTGGGTTTCTCTCCTTTTTTTTCCTCGGTCAGCGTCTATCTCCTAATGGGCGCGAGCTTTTTAATCAAACGTATCTAACAAAGTAACTTTCTCGTAATCAGAAACGCCACTAAAATTAATGGCGGCAAATGTTAATGAAACCAGTGCCACTTGTGTTTATAATGATAGTTTAGACTCAAATATTTGCACGTGATGTTTACGCTGATTCCATGTAGCATTATCAATTAAGCCTCGAACAGGCCAAAGTGTGATCAAGTTGAATTCGCCATTCTCTTCCATACTTTGACTTTTCACTACAGGGAGAAGTCTGGCTTTAGCCAATCGCATTTGCGCAGTCCTGCAAAGCGTGGGAAAACAGGGTTGCATGCTGATTGATTGAAATTTGCACGAATCATGCCAGCTATGAGTGTCAGCTCAGAAATTTATGGCTGAAAAGTCAACAATTTGTTTCTTTTGATAAAGCATGATACTATTTACTTACTAACCTATTGTTGGTGTTTCCTTCTTCCTCTTACATTCGCACGCATGATTCAATGACGGCACTTTGTCCTAGCTGAACTATCGGATGTTTGTTTTCTATTATAATCAAGATGTATTTAAAAAGTGAAACGAAGATTTATTTAAAAAAGCATTGCAAATAATAAGAATATTTAAGCAAAAGAGAGCTAGTTTTGCTGCAAAAAGAAATTTTCGTATCTGTGTGAAGCTGTGGTGACGAAAAGGAAATGTTTACGGACTTTGAGAACGTATGTAGACTTAAAAGTACTGTGGGGGGCAAATCAAAATTCAGAAAAGTGTACATATACGACTTAAAAATTAACACTTTCGCGTTTGGCTTTATAACAACTGTAGATGAGAAGGTTAGCAGCCATCTTTACTGACAACAGTTTTCATTACATAAAATCCTTTTTTAGTTGATATTAATCTGGCAAGAATCAACTCTGCGGACATGACTTTTTAATGCGTAATGAAAGGCTTCAGCAGACTTGAGTTAGCTTCAGGACTTAATATATACCCTGAGAAGGAACTTTTCTCTTGTTGTGTTTTAAGGAATTAAAAAAAAATTATACATTCTCAAGGAAAATTGCATGATAATTCATGTTAACTTAAATACATTTGAGTATTTATACGAGTATTAAACGTTGCTGTTCATAGATGCATTCTGCAGTTGAATCCTAGACAGTTCGTGGGAAAAAGTTCTTGATCGACTTTTCTTTTTCAACTGAAGGGAATATAATTTCCATGTTGCTTGTCACTGCATCAGAATTTGTAGCTTATGATGATATTACCGCTAAAATCTCAGTGCAATATCTCATAATGAAATATGAAACAAGACACTCTCTCTGGCCGAAGATCTACAGCTGAGATTATTCTTCTCATTGTCATCCTGCGAAATCAGTTTTTGTTTCTGTCATATCGATAAAGTACCTCTGCTTGTGCTTTTTCGGGACTTAGCAACACCAAGTTAGGTGTTGCAAATATCTCCAACCAAACGCATTGCCAAATGAAACAGAAATGTTTATCTGGACGGGGGAAATTGTTGTGACTCCTTTGGTTCCTTATGAGTTCCTGCATTGTACTTCTTGCTGTATCAGTGTGTAACAGCTTTACTGATACAGCTTCTTTTTTTTTTTTTTTTTTTAAATAAAACCTGAGAGGGCTAGACCTTTTCTTTAACTAACTATACAGCAATAATTTGCGCCTCTTGTAAATATGCTACTAATATTTAACAGGAGTTTAAGACGACAATTACTATGATTCATAATATTGTTGCTCGTTCGCATTTGAATCGCTGGTATCGAAAAACGGGGCAAATCTACTGCGCAGTATTCAGACGCGCTATCTTGTAAGTGTGTGAAATTATACTTCGGTAATACAAAATCTTTGAACTGCCACTAAGGGGGGTTTGCCATATTTTTTGCCAATTTTGATATGTAAAATAAAGACAAGCTTTGAAAAATGTCTTGGTTTTTGTTTTTCGAACAGTCACTTAGTTCAAGTGTCACCGAAACAGGGCGGGTAACCGTAAAACATAAAAACCTTAAAACAGTATCTTTACTATGCAAAGTATCCATACTTCACTTCCCTAATTACAAAACTTACCCATTACTCCTTGCGAACCTGATTAAAAAAAAAAAAAAAATTAATTACGTGATACGAAATAAGATACCACTAAACCTGGAAACGTGCCTAGTTTGTTCCAATCGAGTTTATTTCGCCTACTTTACCAAAACAATTTCTTTTCTTAATTTTTCCCTTAAATTCTATATACATTCAAAACTGTATTAAGTGGTCACCCACGGGGAATGGCGCTTGATACATGTAACCACCAAATTTTGAGTCGTATAACCCGCGCCAAAATTGTGTTCCCATGAGGCTTTGTGATGGTACATCCGGGAAAATTAGAAATGCAAGATAAGATGGCGGCGCCGAAGGTGACAGATACAAGAACAGAATTGGCCGAACTGATCAAGAAAAGGGCAGAGATCGCTGTAAGTTACCTTCACATCGTCATATTTTTCATTAGTTTGGAATCAAAGAGGTTAATTTGGTGGCATGATCACCGTTTATCGCGTTAATTTTCTCGAGAATTGTCGATTGGTATTATGATGACGTCAGCTAAACGGGCGCCAAAATCAACCCGTTTGATGGTTAATTGATATTCGAATATGTCTTCTAATTGTTAGAAACGTTAAACGATTTCGTAGTGATTTTCCTTTAAGGTATATTTCAACAAAATTCTCGTGCACGAAAGAATGTTACGTTTTTGGCTGGTATGGAGGAGATTTGAAATCTTGATCAGTCCAGGTTGAGATCTTTCGTGGATTCCTCATACAAGGATGAACCTGTGTAAAATTTCCTGAAAAGAATAAAGGAAGAATTTGAGATAATGCCCCCAACTTTAGTTTTTTTTGCATGGAGCATGTGTGTTGTTAAAGATATAAACACAAGACACAAGATCAGTTTTACTCTGCATCATACGTGCCAACTCTCCCAGTTTTTGCAGGAGTCTTCAAGTTTTTAATCAAATCTTCCCGTCCCCTGGTTAGAGCATGAAATCTCCTGGAAAATATGTACCGTGACGTTTTTCAATTTTTTTTCAATAACTTAGTTGTTTTGAGATGTCAAAAAGGATTTAGTGCTCTTATTTCAGCTGTTCTCAATCAGAAAAAGTAAACAGAGGAATCAAATTGATATGCATTTAATGAGTATCATAATTGGTCAGAAATCAACCAGTCAAAATACACAATACATGATAGAAATTTGGTGTGGTTTATGTCAGTTGAATCGAGATGTCTCCAGACTTTTGTACTCTGAGGATTGGCAGGTATGCTCTACGTGCAAATGCTGCTATTTTGTTTGCATAATGCAGAAAGGGATGTTGACATCTTCTTTATAAATTGTGTCTGTATTTCTTTTTGTTTCACTGGAAGACTGTTGTTATTTGCCCAACAGATGGTATTTACTGAATATCTTCCCAAAATGCTCAACTCAGTTCTTGCCATTTAAATAACCAAGTTGATTCTCAATTAGGAGTTGATGTACTTGCTGTAGAAAATTTTAAGAATGTGTTTTTTCAGATTGTGCTTGGTGTCCATTTGTGCAGTGGAACATTTATTGATAAAAACATAGCTACTAAACTTGTGTGACTGAACTTTCATAAGAATTCTATTTGCCCCAGTCGTAAAGTCCCATCACTAGCAGAAATAATTTTTTTGAATGGAAGGTACTCAGACCATAATTTTGTGAAAAAGTTTCCTTTCATTGCTAATTTATTGGGGTTCACTATCATGTGTATGTCCACAATCAAATTCTGGTGTTAAAGGCAAGTTACTCAGGAGGAGTGGTTGAGATGAAATGTGTTTTGGTTCTGGAATGTAAACAACAGGTTAGTTACGAAGTGTCAGGGTCAGTCTTGTTGAAATTGTACAACATTGTCAACTAAGCAATTGGTAACTTTCTACCACTAATGTGATCCACACAACAGAGCAATATCAAATGTCACATTCATGTCGTTCCCCTGTCATTGTATTACTTGCTTGAACCAAGTAACAGTTGTAATGAGTAGATTTTCTGTTATTTTGAACAATTATTCGTCGAAGGTGAATATTGTCGAATAATCCCTGAGACAATATATTTTTATATCATATATATTATATATATTTAGTATAATTTCAGAGCTGAACAAAGAGTTTCCAGCAATCTGATTGGTCGAGCGGTTCCTTATATGATGCTATATCAACCGCTCCGCGCAGTTTATATTTAACAATTATTCGCTGAAGGCGAGGTGAATATCGTTGAATAATCCCTGAGACGAAGTTGAGGGGATTATTTGACAATATTCACTGAAACTGAGGTGAATAATTGTTTTAGTATAATTTTAGTGCTGAACAACAGAGAAATTTCTAAAATCATAACATTTTAGTAACATTTATTAACATTTTAATTTAACATTTTCTATTAACCGTGTGGAGCGGTTCATATAGCGTCATATAAGGATCCGCTCGACCAATCAGATTGCTGGAAACACTTTGCTCAGCTCTGAAATTATACTAATAAAAGGGAGAAATCCATTTGGATTTCCTTTGTAGAATGTAAAATGTGAAATGTAGATGCTAGTTTGTCATTTTCTCCTTACAGATACAGGGAAATCAATTTAGACTGACTGTCTATTCATGCCATATTTTTTTTTTCAGGAAAGCCTAGCCAATCTAGAGCGCCAGATATATGCATTTGAAGGAAGTTATCTTGAGGATACACAGCTGTATGGGAACATAATCAGGGGGTGGGATAGGCTTTTGACAAATAAGTAAGTTTGGTGAAATTTTTCCTTATTAGCTTGAAGTTTTATGAAAAATTTGTTGTTTTTGTTAAAGTTACTGACAGCAATTTATGAATTACATGTAGCTCAGTATAGTAATAATTAACCTCATGATATCGCTGGTAGTATCAGTGGACAACATGAAGTGAATCCTGTGTTCTGATTGGCAACCCAAGCAGGCAAGATGGGGGTGCATCTTGCTGCTCAGTATTATTTGCTTTGATCCCATGCAAGAAAAAAATTGTGTGGAGCAGACTTACAAAGTGTGTAATTTTTGGACAGTGGCGGCAATAGAGTAGCAAAGAGCAGCAGAAGACAGTCAAAACAAAGAAAATATAAACGTGGGGTTTGTTTGCTACCTGTATGAACACAGTCGCCATTCTTGATTCTTAAATAAAGCAAAATATTTTTGCTATATAATAAACTCTTTATTCACCAAGGTTGTGTGGTCAAGATGGCTGGATATTAGCCTCATCCTTTTTTTTTTTTGCATTTTTATAGACTGAGATGAAGTCAAGGTCCATAAAAAACATAATGAATGAACTTATCCAATATCCAGCCATTTTGACCTCAGGCTTGGTCAATAATGCATTTTTATTGTTCTTTCTAGTCATTCTCTTGGATGACTTGTCAGGAATATTTTGTGATGTATAGTGTGTAGTTGTTTGGATTTGGCCTGATCAATGTCTTCGTTTTTTTTCCTTTAATTTGTAGAACAACCAATACAAAAGTTGAAAGAAGAAACAGAAAATTTAAAGATGCTGAACGGCTGTTCTCCAAATCTTCCATAACATCTCATGCAGTAAGCTTCCATTTACAATTTGCAACTTGTTGTAGAGTTATTTTTTCAGGCTTGTTCAGGATGCATGAAGTAATGTATGTTTTTGTTCGTAAATTTTGATATTATTTTGATCAGTTGCATGGGAAATACAATTGAAAAACCTACTGGAAGAAGTACTGCATGTAAAAATAAATCAAAATGATTGAAGTTCTTTTTTTTGGAAAAAGTTTTGACCCAAAGGAGAGGTGTAAATTCATCAAAGACACTTATGTGAGGGGAGTTGGTTAGTTAAATTAAATGATATGAGGGTAAGTTGAATTAAATTATACAATATTTCAGCTTTTGTCATCAACTTTTAAAGTGAAGTAAGTAGTTTTAAATATGTCATGAGTATGAAATATTATCATAAAATTTCAATTACCGGTAGTAAGTTCTGCTTTCTCTTGTTAGGCTATAGCAGCTGGTGGTGGCCTTACTGAACCACTCCCTGAAAAAAGTAAGTTTGATAGTTGTGCTAAATATTTTATTTATTATTCAAGATTACAGGAAGCTTAAGGTAGGAAAAAGAGATTAATCCAGACAAACAAGCCAATCTGGTTCTTTATTATATGGCTGTGTCTCACAAGGACTGGGAACTACTGAATTCACGAATTTGATTGGCTGAAATTAATATTGAAAGCGGTCTAGATTTTCCCATCTAGACTGGCATCTAGACCGGTCTAGAAAAAAAGGTACAAAGAATATAAAAAATTGGCATATAAGACACAGCCATATAATAAACATCTTATTAACCGAGCTAGGTCGGTTAATAAGAACTAAATATTACTTTTTTCATATTAGTTTTTCATGATTAATTTTGGCTCTATCATCAATCGGATGAGGTGCATGTCCAACAGCTTGCCATGGCATCTACCAATCAAATTAATATTCATAGGCTTTGGGTATTTATTGCCAAGAAGGGTATTTATTATTTTGTTGTAGAGGAACCATCTTCCCATTCAGACCAAATTCATCATCAGCACAGCCATATTGGGCGTGTCCACAAAGGTAAAATGCATCTGCCATGCTACTGTACATTTTATTATTTGTGTAATTTTATTCTTTTTCTAAAGGAAATTCCTTTCAGCAAATTGTAGTACTTTAAAGGAATTGAGCAAAGAAATATTCCCAGTTATAGGTTACTATCAGGCAAATCAGTCGTGTATTTGTCATGATGTTTCAACTGCTGTACTGCTCATCTCTGTCAGGCAACAAGGTCAAAAGTTTGTGTTGCTATTTATAGCACCTTGGTTTGTTGTTTTTGGAATGTTTTGGCCCACTGTCATGGCTACATTTTGATCTTTATTATTATTCAGACTATTAGATGTTGTTCCCTCATAGATTTGCTTTGTTGCTGGTCAGCTGTTTACCATTATGTTTGATAATGGAAATCCACCGACTTGAATTTTGATTAATAATAATAATAATAATAATAATATGATGTGTAGTTTCATAGGTTATGCTGTGCGCCCTATGAAACTTTCTTTTCCTGGCATGCTGAAGGTCAATAAACTGCATCATAATAATTTAGCAATGGACATCCACTGGGTGGCTCTTCTTGTCCACTGTTTCCAGATCGAATTGCAATTTAGAATGTTGGTTTTTGCGGAGGGAGGAAAACCAGAGGATTCGGAGAAAAACCCTCGGAGCAAGGACGAGAACCAACAATAAACTCAACCCACATGTGATGCCAGGTGCGGGAATTGAACCCGGGCCACAGTGGTGGGAGGTGAGTGCTCTCGCCACTGTGCCATCCCTGCTCCCCAGGGAGCCTAAATTATTTGCCTAAATTGTTTTTAAAAATTTAATCTGAGTGCTCCTCTTTATCTTACTTTAAAAACACTGATGAAACAATCAGGTTTCCTTATATTTTGCAATACCTTGTGTTAGATCAAGACTCATTTTCCAGTCTTCTTTATTAATGTTAAATCACATCTAACTTTTTCATTCAAGGCTCCCACAAAAAGAGAAAGCACAAAAGACACAGGTAAGATTTAATGATTTGTTCACTTTTGTGGCTTATTGCTAAGTTATTCAGAGCCAATTGACTGTTTAGAAAAATTCCAAGTTCTAAAGGTAGTTGGATCTGACTGGAGAGAGGCTGATGTACTATTTCAAAAACAAGTGTAAGGGTTTCATTAGGGTTTCCAAACACAAGAAAACTGATGAAAGCACGAGGTAGCAGGCCAAGTGCTTTTATTGCTTTTCAAGTGTTTGGAAACCCTGATGAAACCCAATGTACAAGTTTTTAAAATAGCTTCTCAATTGCACCTCAAGAATAAAAGAAATGGAAATATTCAGAAATTTTTCACATGTTGTCAGCAAGTTTGTTTTTTGTTGAAATTAAGAAGTGAGTTCACTAGAGTTTGATGCTTTATCAAACCCAAGGGTTTGTTATCATTATAATATATATTCTATCATTTTTAACTTGATAATGTGTGTCAAGGCCCTTCTTAAAGTGTAGAATCAGATTTCTCATCAAAACTTAGTGGGTAAACCAACAGCATTAGAGGTGATGAGCTCTGAAACCTCTGGCAATTGTGATTTTGCTCCAAGTTGAATTAAAAATCTCTTTTTCAAGGTTTTTTTTTCCTTCATTTGATTTAACTTGTTCCTTTTGTTTGTTTGCTTTTTTTTTTGGAAGGATTGAATTGAGAGTAAAAAAAGCTGGCCATAGGTCAAGAGAACCAAGCTTTGGAGAGGTATGAGAACTTTATAAGAGACAGAGGGTCTCTTATAATGAAGTAGACATAGGCAGGTGTCACCAAAAAAAATAGATTGTGCTGGTTGTCAAGTTTGTAAGTAATTTATATCGTCTCCGTAGTCACTTATCAAGTTGATGACTAAAGCAGCTTGGGAAAACCTGTGAAAAACCCACTAAGTCTGCTAGCTGTTGGTTCTGGTTACTGGCTTTTTGCCCTGAGACAAGACTTTTGTCAGCACTCATAGCTTTGATAGTATAGTATATTGTCAAAAAATGTGGCAGGGGCTTTAGAGCCAGGCTCTTCAAATTACAATCAAGAGCTGGCTTGTTTGAAACAGGGTTGACACTTATCCCACCTTATGCTAGGGCCCTACAGAAAGGTACAGTTAAATTAGACTAAACAAACCACCCAAAAGTCATGCCATGTATTTCATATCTTATCAAATGTGAGAATTTAACATTGAGATAAAAGACATCTCCTTAGTGTCTTATGTTGTATGGAATTTAGGTTTAAGGTATTTCAGACTAGGTTGAGTCAGCAGGTATGATTACATTTCTTGATTATTTTTAATATGAGCCACCAGCTTGGAAGATTGGTTAACCTCTTCCTACATTATTGACTTTTAAATAAATTATTATTATTTATTGTTATTAAATGAGTGACTGTAAAAAGTAAACTAGAAGTTGTTTTCTAGTGAGTGAAAGAGTTAACTATTTACCCAGGCACAAACTCCCCCATTATTCAAACCCTGTAGTTGTTGATTTTAACCCCAGAGGTTCCATTCTTAAATTTTTTTAAGTGGGATGTTTGTCCACAGGCTGAACAAATGCAAGTATAGTGGAACATTCTTTACATTTTAATTGTGATTTGTTTTTCTTTTGTATTTTGTAGGATGAGCATGAAGATTAAAAGATCCTCCACAATTATTTGTGCATTAGAAAAAAATTTTTTGGGGCAAGAAATTTTCTTGCATTTGAGGAATATTTTGTAGAGGAAGGAATAAGGACAGCTATGCTAAGATAAATTATGAAAGAAGATGAAGGTCATGTCACTAAAGTTGACAGACCTGCTGCATAGTGTAAATTTCTCATTATTACTTTGCTGAGGGATTTACATACATATGTCACATAGATTTTTCCTTACAGTATGGCTTAGTAATTGATATCACAAGATAAAAGTGCCCTCTTTAATATTTTTGTTTTGAGAAACAAATAAGTAAACAAGTTTTCAAACTTTTCAATTTACTGTTCCTAATGTGATTACTGTTTTTCCTCTTGCTACAGAAATATATCTTATTAACCAAGCGCGAGGGCTGTACTGGGAGAATATCGGCCCGAGATCTTGACAGTACGGACTGAGCGCAGCAAGGTCCATACAAAAAAGACCGAGGGCCGATATTCTTCCAGTACAGTCCCGAGCAAGCTTGGTTAATAAGAGATTTATTATACGACTGAAGTTCAAAGGGACACAAGTGCGGTATCATTCGGGACCATTCAGGACCATTCGGGACAGTGCCGGAACCAATACTGAGAGAATATTGGATCGGCAATAGAGCGTTTTGATTGGTTGATTTTAGTTATTGGCCCTCTGACTGCCTGAGTGGTGTAATAAAGAGTGATACTGATTACTTTACCTCAGTGTTCTGTATATCTTATTTTTATAGATTTAATTGGTGAAATATTGGTAACACATTTCTTTACCTTCTCTATTCAAATGTATCATATTGCATATAAGTGTAAGTCTTGCAATCATAAATAGTAATTATTCAAAGTAGAAAAATACGACGACTATGTTTTTATCCCCACAAGCCTGTTTATATATGTTAAGTTATATATATATATATATATATATATATATATATATAGTAAGTGTAAAATGATGAAACATGAAGCAAACTTCTAACTGTTCCAGCTTTAATGTGGCGATGTTTCAGCCTTCGGCCTTCTTCAAGTGGAATGTATTTACATAAAAACTAAAGTCCGAGGACTTTTTTTTTTTAGTTTTTCTATAAATACGTTCCACCTGAAGAAGGCCAAAGGCCGAAACGTCGCTACATTAAAGCTGGAACAGTTAGAAGTTTGCTTCATGTTTCATCGTTTTACACTTACTTAATATTTTCATTGAAGCACTGTATCCTCATTGGATCCTTCTACTGGGAGCTCATCGTTTGGTTTACCTTTTTATTCTGTTTATATATATATATATATATATGTTAAGTTAGAAAAATACCATGACTACGCTTTCATCCCTACAAGCCTGTTTCGTGATTGCTCACTCATCAGGGGATTTTATTGACAAGAATATCCATAAACATTGTTTATATGCTATACAAATTTGCCTAGGAGGCATGGTGGTGAATTAAGTGCTTTGTATGCGTATGTTTATATATTGAGTTAGAAAAATACAATGACTATGCTTTCATTCCTACAAGAGATGAAAGTATAGTCGTTGTATTTTTCTAAATCAACATATATTTGCTCTTCTTTTATGTATTGAGCATTGTAATACAGAAAAATCGAAATACAGACTTCCTATATATATATATATACACGTAGCAAATAAAGCAAGTTGCTTTTAAGTAGATTGTTACGTGTAAATTGCTACGTGTAAATTACCCTCTGCAGGTATCCTTCAAGTGGGTGAGCATTTTTCTTTTGTTGAAACCCCTACCCCTCCCCTCAAAGTATTTTATGTCGCTTCTAGGCAGTAACTTATGATTGTTGTTGGAATAAGGGAAACTTACTAAGGTGATGGGTTCATATGGTTTGCGCATAAATGCGCCACAGCGGCTTTAACGACTATCCTTCCTTTAACTTGTGAGCAAGCTCCCCTAGAGGGTCCGCCCGCGACCTGTAAAAGAGCTTTCTTATAGGCTTACTTTCTTTAGATTGACTTCCTAGACGCTATCTCATTCCCCGCCAACTTAGCTTGACCCTTGTCAATTCTAACGACAAACCTAATGGTACCGCTAACAAGTGTCTCGCACACTGGATTACGGAGGAACTAGCGCGTAGTGCGGATGTCTGATCAAGAACGCAAGGGATACCGCGGGAAGTCTCGCGCAATCACCTCCTTTGCGCGCCTTTCGTATCATGTGTCTCATTTTGTTTTGTTTCGGCAAAGCCTAGGAGTGAAGAAGTGATAAGGACTTGAAAAAGCTTCGAGTTCCAGCGACCTTCGATATGAAAAAACAACGCTAAGAAACAAAACCAAAATTAAACTTGTCTGTGTTGTGAAGTAAGTACGACCGAAGAAGCCATGCCAATAAGCTGAATCCGAGGCTATCAACGTTTTTATACTTACAATAACTACCGCGAATTTTCTTCACTTAAGCTTCTGCGAACAGCTTAAAACAGCCGAGACTGAAGGCGGACAGCAAGGCTGCCTTCACGGTGCCCGAGTATGATTCTTGATGGCCACTAATTTGAAAACACCTTTTTTTTCAATTACTCACGCCAGAATTCGGGCACCACCAGTGCTGGTGCTCTGGCACTAATACTCGGGCACCACGTGTAAACACAGCCTAAGATGGATTAAAACATAGCTAGCAGAGTCGCGCAATCAAATTCATTATACGTAAGCGTGCTCAAAATCCCGATAGTGCACGCTGATAGCGTCAGCAAATCCGACTTCACCAGAAATTTTTTTTCACGCGAGCGGCCATTGCTAGTGCGGGGAAAAATAATA